AAATTGTCTACTTCACAACATAAATACAGATATGTAGACGTTTACATGAATACAAATGAGACAACAAATACAAAAGTACTGTTTAGTTTATGGACCACAAGATAGTAGAAAATATGACAGTAGGTTGACAATATGTATAACAATGACAAGACAAATAGCACAAATATGACAAGATCTACTAAAAAACAACAGTTATGACAATGTACAAACTAGACTTCACAGCTAACACAGAATTATCCTACAGTGTTATAAATAGGGCCAGAAGAAACCTTTACCGTTTTAATAAAAAAACTTCCCTAGGAAAGATAACACCGTGGATGTCCCTACAGTATACTCTAAAATTAAACTTATATTATACAGAAAAAGTAAAAAATTTACTTAATCTAATTAAGTATGATATAAGTAGATTTTTAAAGTCTTAAATTATATATAATACATAACACATAAATACATAAATACCAAGTGTTTAAAAGAAATCCGTAGTTGGTCACCTCTGCTCCTCTGTGACGCTCTGATTTCTGTGTAATCGATAATCCTATGTAGTAGATGCTCCTTCTAGGTAGTAGATAATCCTATGTGGTAGTGTACTTGGGTAAAATAATCCAATGAGAAAAGTTACACCACAAATTGCTGCAATACTCCAATGTAAGTACCTTGCGTAATAGTGTAATTGTGATAATCCAATAATTGAAAATTGTCTAATTTCTCTCCGGTTCTGTTGCACTTGTGAGTAATTGAAGAATTACTTGAAGAATTACTTGACTTGAACTGTGCGGCTTGTATAAAGTAAAGATTATGCTGGGGAAATCTTACTTCCGCTGTCTTGATAAAACATCTCATCTGTAATGACATCAGACTTCTTTTGGTTTTGTGTGGATCATCTCTTTCGTTGACTAATAACTGTAAAATAGATTTCTTGCTGTTTCTTCCACGAGAATATTCACTCCACTGTTATATAATTGAAACAGTGTACCAGTTAGCTGTTTGCACTCTGAACTTTTGACTCCCGTGACTGACCTAAATTCAATCGTTGTCAGCTTGCTCTGTGTGTCGTGGACTCTTCTCAGATTTGACTCATACACGGGCGTAATGACGTTCGATGTATGCTTCACTCGACTGTTAAAATATATCGTTGTTACTCAATGTTCTGTAATACATCGTTGTTCTGACACTTCTGACAATATTTGTAACGCATCGTCGTTACACCGCTTCTGACACCATTTGTAACACACTTCTACTCTGACATGGCGTGGGATGTTATTTCTTATGCTGTGGGTTATGTCAGTAGTATGGTTACTTATATTAACGCTTCAGGATGCCGACTCAGTCTTCTTCATTCTTTCACTTATTATTCAGGCACGTAAAGAAGAATACTCAATTCTAGTTAAAACTCACAGTACTTTATTGAACACACTTTATATTGATAATATTAATAAATAATCCTTGCATGAATGTAATTTCACATATATATCTATAGTATTCCATCATTAAGAAAGACACGTCCTCACACTACTATAACTCAGCTCAACTGTCTAATCTCACAGCTCTCACGCTACTGACTGACTCTACTGCTCTGCGCTCAGCTCTCTACTATCTCAGTCAACTCATACTTTATTACCAGCAAAGCGTGCAAAACAACCGCTCTGACAAAAACATAATTTTACTCTCCAAAAACGTGGAGTTCACATTTGTTCTCAAAAATACAATCCACATTGATTGTCTCTCCCCGTGGAAAAACCTGGTGAACACACTCACTGTCCACTCATGCTACCTCTCTGTTTACATGTGAAAACATAGTCCGTTACAGTCTCCTAGTATTTTGTAGAATGTTTGCGATTGTTCTAGAAATGTAAACAAATACTGAGTAGCTTCTGGAAGGCAAAGCTTACGCGTCGGTAGGCCCACATATATAAGGGATTGACAGGCACGGAGAGATTCAGAGAGATTGATATATATTTTACCTTCACGAGACGCGTATTATTATTTGTGTACTTATGTGTTATTCGCATTCATCATTTTTCATTGGCACATTTTACTAACTGTGTACCGGGACAAGATCTACCATACTGTAAGTTGATGATTTTTAATTATATTTCTTTTGTTTGTAATTGTATTATTAATGAATTAAATCTTATTAGTTGTAATTGGTACTGTTTTGGGTGTAGTACTTTTGTTATATGGTATCGTCTTTTGTTAGGCACTGTTTGAACGAGCCATAAATTTAAAATAGGAGATTTATTTCTCACAAGAGAAGTCAGTGCGTAACACGTCATTTAATTTAAGCCTGTTTGATGACATCCATGATTTCACCACAAGACAGCAGTCCTCGACAGTCTGCACAGCAGCAACACAGTCAAAAGGTTCAGGGCGGAAACTCTTGAACAGTTCTGTGTCATCCTCAAATAATTTGCTGGATATAGGCTACCACAACTTTCGATAATTCTGCCAAGCTGGCTAATGTACATGGAGAATAGGAGAAGAAGCTCATGGCCAATCAGGTCAAAAGCAGCACTGAGGTCCAACAGGACCAATTGTGTCAGATCGCCGCGGTCAGCACTACAAAGAACATCATTCATGACACGGAGTAGTTCCGTTTCACAACTACTGTGTCGAGGTCGATATGCAGATTGAAACTTACAAGCAGGGTTTCTTTCAGTTATATCTCCGGGAGCACTGCCCCCTCCCCAGGAAAGTCAAGCCTCCCCCCCCCGAGCATAAATATGTCCAACAATAAATCAACTGGCCCTGCCCCCCCCCCCC